AACATCACAATTTGTGCGCACTATTAAGTATATCAGCTAATTCATAACTCCTCCAAAATCAGATTTAGCGGCTTATTGCATCACTTCTTCGTTCCTGGTTGTCTAGAGGGTAGTTTAAAGATGTTACGACTCGATGGTGTTTGAGTATGTGAAGAGGCAAATGCATCTTGCATCATTTTGTCCGCCTGCTATAGCCACATAGCGCTCATCGCGAACGATGTTTCGTTTGTTCATTAGCTGTGACCTTCTTGAATGGGCTCCCTAGGCACATGTAAATAAGGGGCGGTGCTTTACGCCATGAAGTCTGATCTTAGAGGAGTTATACGTTGTCTGACATACTGCGGCGTACGAATAACTTATTCTGCTTATGCAGTAGCAGATAAGGAGTACCAGCGCCGGAAACATTGTTTATGATGAGCGCGAGACGTATCTGGCACTGAGAGTTTTTAATTGCCCCTCTCCTGGCTACTTGGAGCATGTAGATGATGCAGTACGCTGTGAAACCAGGTCTCAGAGTAGTTAATATTATTTAACGTTCTGTGTTATATGTATAGCTAGTTTTAAATGAAAGTGTTTTAGAAAGTGTCAGTGTCACTTAACTGTAATATGGATTGGTTTGTTCGTGTATTGGTAATCCTGCTGAACAGACCGCACAGAAATGCTTATATTATATACCGCGTAAAGCATGTAGGCCGATGCATTTGAATAAGCTTTTTAATAATCGTTAATGATATATCGTTAGGAAGTAAACACCCTTACATAGAAGCGGTGCACCTTAATTATGACATTCAGTTAAGTAACGCATGTATATAGGTTATTGTTGTCTTCATTACATCCAATAAAAAATACCAAATCGTTGGATTATTAAACGATTAGCCAAACAGGTTACAGAATAAATCAATGCTAAAATGAGCATGTCTAAAATGTCAAGAAGCATTTGTTGAATTAGTTCAGCAAAATTTCTTACTTGTTTTGCTAGGTGTACTGAATATTCAGAAGTCTGTTTTTGTCCCGCTCAGTTAAATAAGACTCGCTTTTTCTATGGCGAAAGTCATGTACTTTCGCACGACTTCGAATATTGTAATTGCTTCACTAAACATAGCAGTAAACTTCTTCTTCCGCCTTTGAAACGGATCTTTGCAATTTTGCTGATTTTTTGTCAACTAACTATCATGTGGGTATAGGCGAACTGTGGCCGTAGGGAGCATCGATCAGCACGACAGTTTGTCTCGCATTTTGGGATGATTTTGGTATGACTGGGCCGCACTGGACCACCGGGCTTTCCCTGTTGTTCGCAGTTAAATGATTTGGTGTTCTGTACTTGTCCAGTGTACATCAGCATTTCGAATTCTTTGTTGGAAGAAGTTCGTAATTAACAGGAAAAACTTTTCGCGGCGCTTGGCTGTTTGAAGCCGGCGCCGGTAAAGCGCAAAGCAGATTACATATCTGCCATGCCACTGCCTTCCATCTACGTCAAGGTCATTCCATTTACAAGTCCAAACAGGAGGATTTGGGGAGAGTCATTGTATGGCGAAATCTTTTCGTCTTTGCGTTGACTCCTGAAAATATTTATGGCGACATTACCTATATATTGTTGTAATATAAATGCCTGAACAGTTTCGTTTTCTCCAGGATTTGGGCTGCCGTTCTTAATTTTTCTTAAAAGACGTGACTCTGCGTTTGGAATATGCAGTCGTTCAGTTAACTATCAGCTTCTTGCGTGTAAGACTTGACAGTCAATGAATTTATTATCAGCCCAAACCTGTGAACAAAGCATCTACTGTAGAACTGAAAATAGGCCTGGATATATCGCTGGCCGTTTTGTCACTTGACTGAACTCTTGCTGCGGCACTGAGAACGGCATGATGAAGATTCGTTTGTTATTCCAACAGAGTTAACAGCTTTAAGGAGATTTAATTTTTGTAGGCTTACAGCGGAACGGTTCATCGTACACTAAGCGGATTCACTTGCCAGCGTTGGGATCGGCAGTATCCACACAGGCATAATGTGACTAAACTGCAACTGCAAGTAAAGCATTTATGGATGGTTTCTAACTTCTGTCGCAATCCAGATGCTTCGGTTTATGGACCATGGTGCTTTACCACCAACCCCAGTGTGACCAAGGAGCCATGCTTTCCCATTTGCATAGGTAAATGTATCGTTACATTTTGACGCGGCTTCTAGCAGTCAGTGAACAGTGAGTCTAGACTGTTTGATGTTACCTTCCTTTACTGCCTACTTAGAACAGTCACAGGGTCCCTGAAAACTCAGTTTTCCGGCAAAAGTAGCAGCATAGTTACAGTTTCTTGTTTTATGCTGCGGTGGACATATAGCACGGCTTCTGGAGTAGTGGAAGCCAAGTTGTTTGTTTTTTCTTTGCAGTTCTGAAGATGTGATCTTCCGCCATGATTGCATGGCTGAGATCATCACACTCATATTTTAACTGTTATTTGCGCATTGTTGAAACCTGATCAATTACTGCTGTTGTTTTATAATGTCGACGTTTCAGATAAATTTGCTAATTAATAATATGCTCGTCAATGCATTATTTAGGTGCACTTCATCCTGACAATATCAAGTTCCCTGTTGAAGTTTATAAGAAAGAATATCATTATGACGTAGGTATTATTCGAAATTTTTAGCACATAACGGTGA